GAAGGTAATTAGGGACAGGAAGTTGGCTCCCTGGTTTAATTCTCATTTACAAACTTTAAAACCAAACTCTAGAAAATTGGAGAGAACATGGCGCTCTACACACCAGGAGGAGTCCTATTTATCCTGGAAAAATAGTCTTGTGCTTTATAAAAATAAGCTTCAACAAGCTAGAATTGCTTATTTTTCATCGCTAATTGAAAAGAATAAGAATAATCCAAAATTTCTTTTCAGTACAGTTGCCAAACTTCCACAGAATCATAGCTCTGAACCATCTATTCCCTTAGCCCTCAGCAGCAACGACTTTATGGGGTTTTTCACAAGTAAAATTAATTCTATTAAAAACAAAATCTTTAGCATCCTCCCTAATGCGATTTCTTCTTCCTCAGCAAGTGAGGCAGCATCTGAGGTAACTGTAGAACCTCATCTGTGTTTGAACCGTTTTGATCCAGTTGAGCTTTCAGTTATCAAAAATATTAGCTTCATCTAAACCTTCAACTTGCATTTTAGATCCAACCCCAACCAAATTATTTAAAGATGCATTTCCTTTGGTTACCTCCCCCATTCTAGATATAATCAATCTATTCTTAGTAAATGGATAAGTACCACAGGATTTTAAGGTTGCTGTAATCAACCCTTTACTTAAGAAGCCTTCTCTGGATCCAGGTGACCCAATGAATTATAGACCAATATCTAACCTTCCATTTTTATCCAAAGTCCTGAAGAAAATAGTGGCCATCCAAGTATGTGAGCATTTAAACACTAATGATCTGTTTGAGGAATTTCAGTCTGGTTTTAGAGAGTATCACAGCACTGAAAATTGCAAATAGTGAAAGTTACAAATGATATTCTCATGGCCTCAGAAAAGAATCTTGTGTCTGTTCTAGTCTTGTTAGATCTCAGTGCTGCCTTTGACACAGTTGATCTCAATGTTCTTTTAGAAAGGCTTGAACATGTTGTAGGGATCAAAGGAACAGCGCTAGGCTGGTTTAAATCCTACCTGTCTGATAGATTTCATTTTGTAAACGTACATGACAAATCTTCTTCATACTTCAGGGTTACTTGTGGAGTACCACAGGGTTCAGTGCTTGGACCAATTATTTTTACTATATATATGCTCCCAATTGTTAAAATCATTAGACAGCATGGGATAAACTTCCACTGTTATGCTGACAATACTCAGTTATATCTATCCATTAACCCTGATGAACCTAATCAGTTAGTAAGATAACAGGCTTGTCTTGAAGACATAAAAAATTGGATGACTCAAAACTTTTTGCTTTTAAATGATGACAAGCCTGAAGTTCTCATCTTTGTACCTGAAATTCAGAAAAGGAAATTGCTTAGTCAATCCCTTGACCTGAATGGCATTACATTAATCTCCGAGAACAAAGTAAGGAACCTTGGTGTTATCTTTGACCAGGACATGTCATTCAAATCCCACGTTAAACAGGTTTGTAGGATTTCCTTTTTCCACCTTCGGAATATTGCTAAGATTAGATGCATCCTTACCAGGACTGATGCTGAAAACCTAGTTCATGCATTTATTACATCAAGATGGGATTACTGTTATTCATTACTCTCAGGAAATCCACAGAATGTAGTCAAGTCTTCGGCTTGTCCAAAATGCTGCAGCTAGAGTTCTGATGAGAATTAAAAAGAGAGATCTATCTCTCCTGTCTTTGCTTCCCTACATTGGCTGCCTGTTGAATTCAGAATAGATTTTAAGATCCTCCTTCTCACATATAAAGCTCTTAATAATCAATCTCCATCATACATCAGTGACCTGATTGTTCCATATGTTCCTAACTGAGCACTTCGCTCTCAGACTGCAGGTTTACTGGTGGTTCCCAGAACATCTAAAAATAGGATGGGAGGCAGATCTTTTAGTTATCAGGCTCCTCTCTCGTGGAACCAACTCCCAGCTTTAGTCCGTGAGGCAGACACCTTGTCTAATTTTAAGACTAGGCTTAAAACATTTTTATTTGATTGGGCCTATGGTTTATTCTGATGTTAGCCTAGATCTGGACAAGTGGGGGAGTACAGGGAGGTGGAGTGTACAGTCGGTAAATACGGCTCTCCCTTGCCCTGCCTCCGACATGCCTCCATCTGAAAGGCTAGGTTATCCAGAGTTATCTCTGTAGTTATGCTGCTATAGGCTTAGACTGCTGGAGGACACACTGACCACTTTCCACACTCTACTACTTTCTTCTACAATCTGCTCTTTAACTGTATTATTTCCTGCAATTTCAGCTGTTAACTTTATTTTTTCTCTAAGTGTTTTTCTCCCCAGAGGAAGCTACACTGATGTTCTGCTGAGCTGTGGTAGCCTCATGGAGGGGGCCATCGTCTTGAACACTGTTGCTAACCATTCTCCCTCTCCTGATAATAACCCTTTACTTTCCTTGACATTGAATGTGCTACTACTAGTTTACCCGTTTAATTATAGATTCACTAGGATAAATACAACAAAGTTTATCTCTCACCAAATAGAATATTTACTAAGAAATCACAATGTAACCATAGAAACACAACTTGGTGTGTGTGTGTGTGTGTGTGTGTGTGTGTGTGTGTGTGTGTGTGTGTGTGTGTGTGTGTGTGTGTGTGTGTGTGTGTGTGTGTGTGTGTGTGTGTGTGTGTGTGTGTGTGTGTGTGTGTGTGTGTGTGTCTTCTCGATCCCCAGTGAGTCGTGGAGGATGGCTGCTTATACTGAGCCAGGATCCTCTGGAGGTTTCCTCCTGTTAAAAGGGAGTTTTCCTCTCCACTGTTGCTGCATGTTTGCTTAGTATGAGATTTGCTGTAAAGTCACTGTCACTAGTCAGTGACTCGATCCAATTTGCTGGGTTCCTTATATATGAAACTTTTTTTCGGATTGGCTTAATGAATTTACATGTATTGGAATGTTTATTATGTGAAGTGCCTTGAGATGACGCTTGTCGTGATTTGGTGCTATATAAATAAACTTGAATTGAATAGAATTCAGTTCATAACTTTTATGGACAAGATTTCTACGTGTAGCCAAGGCGTTGAGGGGATCTGTTTTGGTGGCCTAATGATCAGGTCTCTGCTTTTTGCAGACGATGTGGTCCTGTTGACTTCATCAGAACGTGATCTCCAGCTTTCGCTGGATCGGTTCACAGCCGAGAGAGAAGCAGCTGGGAGGAGAATCAGCTCCTCTAAATTCAAGTCCATGGTCTTGAGTCGGAAAAGAGTAGAATGCCGTCTCTGGGTCAGGGATGAGGTTCTGCCCCTAGTGGTGGAGTTAAAGTATCTTGCGATCTTGTTCATGAGTGAGGAAAAGCTGGAGAGGGACATTGATATAATAAATTCCCAGTGAGAGTTGCACTCCGCACACATCACTGCTGGTCTGTTGTGGTGAAGAAAGAACTTAGCCAAAAGGCGAAGCTCTCGATTTACCGGTCGATCTACCTTCCTACCCTCATCTATGGTCACGAGCTTTGGGCAGTGACCGAAAGAACGAGATTGTGGATACAAGCAGCCAAAATGAGTTTTCTCCGCAGCGAGTCTTGGTTCTCCCTTAGAAATAGGGTGAGAAGTTCAGTCATCCAGGAGGGGCTCGGAGTAGACTCGCTTCTCCTCCACATTGAGAGGAGCCAGTTGAGGTGGCTCGGGCATCTAGATAGAATGCCTCCTGGACGCCTTCCTGGTTATGTTTTCTGGGCGCGTTCAACTGAGAGGAGATCTAAAGGAAGAACCAGGACACACTGGAGGGACTATGTCCCTATCTGGCCAGGGAACACCTAAGGGTTCCCCTGGAGAAGCTGGCCCAAGTGGCTGGGGAGAGGAAATTCTGGGCCTCACGGCTTAGGCTGCTGCCCCGCAACCCGACCCTGGAGAAGCGGACAAAAATGGACGGATGATAAATGCATTTCAGCTTTAAATGTTAGTGAAACTTAGAAATTTGGTATAATTCAAAAACAATATTAAAAGAATTCAAATAACATTTAAGTAAATGGTATTTAGTTTAACAATTTTTTTAATGAATGTGGGATTTAAGCTCCATTGTTATTTTCTTTCTGTTTGGACACAAAGCTTCCTGACAACCTTTTATTGGTCCATTTAATGTATTGTTTTCTTTAGCTTGAAAGATTGTAACTCCATTTAAACCATCCATGCAATGTATTTAATAAAATAAACTTTCTCTGTTGCACAGTTATACATTTAAGCTAAATTCATTTTTATAGACATTATGTTCCATCTCTCAGTAAATGAGTGTTCAGCTGATCCACATAAAATCATTTACACACATTTTCCTCTCTCAGAAGGAAGATCAGAGGTATTCAGTCAAGCTTTAGGCTTCCCACCTGCAGGATTATCCATCAACTCAGTACAAGGCAGATGAGTGGGACTTCATCTGTGGAGCTGACATTCCCAAAAAACAGAAAACTGCAGTGTGCTTTTATTTTTTAAATTTATGGTTTAATAAAAATAAAGCAACATCCTGGTTCTTCACCCTCATGCAGCCCGTCAGTCTATTATTGTTGGATCCATCAGTGTGAAGTGCTGGTTGTGCCACACCCCTATCTGCAGTCATCAGGGAACACTAGACATGAAATAATCTGACAGCTCAGACCAGAGTTCAACACACACACACACATAAATGCATGCACGCACACACACACACACACACACACACACACACACACACACACGCACACATGCACCGAAGCAAACATCTCCCCACCGACAAACAAGCTGTGGCCCACTGGTGACCAGCAGAGGGTGCAGACACAGAGGCAGCCCTTGTTAACTGGAGGTTGTTGCTGAGATCAGTCACATTTAATCTTGTTCACGTCCTCTCCAGCTCCCTCATGTCAGGTAGCTCCTCTGATGTACTTTAAGGAAAGCGTGCCCACACACAAGTGTCTGCTGGAGCACTGCAGCCTGCTACAAAGGGCTGCTTCAAACACATCCAAAGATGTCAGTGCGCTGACCTTCAGCTCACATCCACTCACCACTGGCTCACCTTTTTTCTGACTTACTCTGGCACTTAGCACAGGGACCCTTCTCGTACTCCAGCAGGTCCGCAGCTCGACTTCGAACGCTGGTGTTCCGCCGCAGTCCGGCTCCATCTCGCACACCTCCATCTCGTAGGCGTGCTGCCTCCTCCTTGGCATACACACCCAGCTCCTGGGTGTAGCGTCCATACATCTGTGCATAGAAAAGAAAGAAGATCAGAAACAAGTAGATGATAGAAATGGGAGGCAGTGCGATTCAGCGTGGTTTTCACTTAAATACTGACATCACACAGTGAGACATCTGGCTTGTATAAACACTCTCAGGTCTAAAGTCAGGCTAAAGAGGAGCAGGTGTCAGATAAATGCATCTAAATGCTTCGTGCAATTCCCAAGCTCATCTTTAGATTTTTTAGGAATCTGTTGAGCTTTTCTTTGAGTTTAGTGGTGATTTTTTCCCCCCTCCCCTCTCAGACTGATGAACAACGAGCTCCACCTGTCAGATCCCAGCTGGTTAAGTCTGCAGGGCTGCCAGACAATTGACTCCTGATAATGAGAGGCGGGGCTCATCGCTAACTGCTGCTTAAAAGAGGACCCTGAACAACTCATGTTATGTCTCCAGCTCTGTTTAGGGAGCAGTGTCCTCGAGCCATAATGGAGCTTTTCAAGTGTCTTCTTGGTGTTGTCCTGATTTGTGGAGTTTCTGCTCAGAAGTATTGGATGCAGCCTCAGCAACAGTCAACGGTTCCTCTGCCTGAAGCTCCTTTTGATAAATGTGATGTGGAAGAGGCTCAGAAGGTCCGCTGTGGGAGTCCGGACATCACAGCTGAACACTGTGAAGCCATCAGCTGCTGTTTTGATGGGCACCAGTGTTACTATGGGAAAACTGGTAACTATTTTTCAACCTTACAGGACCACTTTGTCTCAAAAGTTCAGTAGTTTTACAGAACTTTGTCTTTTTCAGTGACTGTGCAGTGTACCAGGGATGGCCAGTTTGTGGTGGTTGTAGCTAGAGATTCCACTCTGCCACCCATTGATGTGGACTCCATCAGCTTGATTGATGCAGATCATGAAGTCTGTGGCCCAGTTGATGGTACTTCAGCCTTTGTGATCTTCCAGTTCCCTGTGACAGCATGTGGCACTATTCTCAAGGTGGGTGATGCCTGACATTGCAGTAATCTGCTTTTCTGGACTACTAGTACAACCTTATGTTTAAAACTTGGATGTTGGATGTTAAAATTTAATATCTGTTAACCTAAAATGGCTTATTTCCTCAGGATGCTGAGGGTTATGTTGTGTATGAGAACCACATGTCGTCTTCATATGAAGTAGGCCTTGGACCAAGAGGATCCATCACTAGGGACAGCCACTTTGAGTAAGTCTAACACCAGAGCGCATGTATTAACAAAATCTGCTGAATTGGCTAACAATGTGGCTGCTTCCTTAGAAACGTCCTGATTCTAAGACTAAAACAATAAAGTTTTGAGAAGTTAAACTTAAGGCATTCAATTCACTGGATTTTTTTTTAAATCTCAAAGCTGTAAGTGTAATTTTGGACCATGTGTGTGGATTCATGCGGTCAACTTAAGACCGGATGTAACTCATGACAACTGGTATTTAATGGAGTGCTTCCCCATTTTGCAAAAATCCTGAGATTTATTGACTGGCACCCTCCCTCCCTATCAGCCTAATGACATAAATTCAGTAGCAACATCAAATTGGTATACTAAGTGCTGCTGTGCCAACAGGCTGCTGTTCCAGTGTAGATACTCTGGCACAAATGTGGAGGCTCTTGTGTTGGAGGTCATCCCTGTTCCTCCACCCCTGCCAGTGGCGGCTGCAGGGCTCCTGAGAGTTGAGCTCCGACTTGGTAATGGGCAGTGCCACTCCAAGGCATGTGTGGAAGGTGGGTTTAAACAATTTCTTAATTCCCCTCTCCCTTATATTTGGATTTTAATATTTGAATGTTTCTCAGACGTGGCAGGATACAGCTCCTTCTACAATGCAGCAGACTACCCAATCACTAAAGTTCTGCGGGAACCAATCTATGTTGAAGTTCGTCTCCTGGAGAGGTCTGACCCAAACATCATCCTGAACCTGGAGCACTGCTGGGCCACCTCAACCCCAAGCCCTGACAGCTTGCCACAGTGGGACCTGCTGGTTGATGGGTATCTTGAACTAGCTCTAACTCAACCTCAACTCCATGAATCTTAAAACTCAACTCGGTATTTACACAACTGTATCCTTCTGACTGCAGGTGTCCTTACTGGGATGACCGATACCAGACTACGATGATTCCTGTGGATGCCTCTTCTGGTCTTGAGTTTCCAACTCACTATAAACGATTCATCAGCAGAATGTTCACGTTTGTTGCTCCAGATTCTCTGTCTCCTCAGAAAGACACGGTACATGCAGTCTTAAAGGGAAAAAACGTATTAATATTACAGAATCTTGATGCATCTACGTAATATTTCCAGGTGTTTATCCACTGTTCTACAGTTGTCTGCTACCCAAGCAGCACAAACTCCTGTGAACAATCCTGCCACAGGCAACGTGAGTAAATATACCATTGGCTGGCTTTGAAAGACCTGTTCTGTGAATTGACTTGGTGCAGTATTGCCTTCCACAGAATGCAGCATTTGTCAGTTCATAAGTATTTCTAACCACTCATTGTATGATTTCTGCAGGACGAGCAGCGGCTATGAGGGATCCCTCAACCCAAACATCCTTGGTCTCAAGTGGGGAAGTGATCCTAACAAATGAACCTGATGAAATGTTAACACTTGCAGCCACAAAACTTTTTAAATAAAACTATTTAAAGGTCATAACTTGGTTTTGGTTTTTGTTAACCAGCGTTGCTGTGGTTGGCTTTGAATTGCAGATGTGGTGTTAAACTAAATCCAATAAAGGGCAAAATTTGAAGTTAAAATGAACTAAGACATGCAATAGAGTAAACTTGACAATGCAAGCTTAAATATTAACATACTCTGGCCAGCTTTAACTCAAAAGTGGGTGGTTAAAAAGGAAGGTTTGACCCTGACTCGTGCAAATTACATCAAGACAAAACCCTGCCTGCTGGAGGGACAGGATACATCTGTCCTTAGCCTCTTTCAAGCCCCAGGGCAACTGTTGCATTATCACATCACGCACAAATGACATGCTAAAGTCATAAAAGGTGCTAGTGTCATTCTTGGTCAGCTTTGCTTCCCAGACTTTTATGGGACAAATTTAAAGCATTAAATTCTAGTTTGCATAGCGCCGTCCACTTTTACAAAGGTGGCAACTTAAGTCTCAAATGCCGATCAGGATCGGCTACTTGGGCTGGAAAATCAGTCCAATTGCATATGCATAACTGGAGTCAGATCTAAATTGGGAGCTATGGAACTTGGCGATGTGACGAATCTGTAGGAAAACGCATGTTGGCTTTAACGGCTACGTGTGTACTCATGAGCAATGTTTTGGTGTTTGCAGTAAGGAAGCTGTATGGGTTCTGGTCTGCATTTGGCAAAGATGAGGTTTGAGAGGGCACAAGAATCTCAAGTTCCTGCTGCTGCTTCTCTGCTTTAATGGTATTCAAGGTTTCCTGTGACCAAAGGAACACGTTCTAAATCTTACAATTTTATGAAGCACTTAAGTCTTAAACTGAGTGACACCCATAATGTGGCATGGTTTCTGGATGGACTGTAATTTACACTGGTTTGTGTGCTGAATGTCTTAAGATATCTGCTCCCACAAGAGCACCAAATTTGACATGCATTCAAAAATTTGTAAAATAACATGAACAATCATGCAATGTAAACTGATATTTGCTTTCAAAACACCGATAAAGTGTAAAACTGGCTATACTGACTCCTGAGTTGAGACTAAAGGTGTAAGGGTAAGTGATCGTTTTGCTCTTGAATTTTTGAACACGGTGAAGATCAAAGAGATTACAGGTTGTGTTTTAGAAGGTAACATAACCTAAACAGGAAAAGCAGTTTTACATTAAGCAGTAGGGGTTGCATGACGTAATTTTTTAAAAGTCGACAGTCAATGAAAATCGAGTCGACGTTGACTAGTCGTTGATGACTACGTACACCTGAAGGGGGGGTCGGTTGGTTCGCTGGAGTTTTTGACAGTTAAATTTGCGCCCACATTTTCAAAGTTAAACACATCTCTTTTAACAACGGTAGTTTCTGCATATATATACTGTTCCTGCTTCAGCCCTCTCCCCCCTCCCCCTGCGCAGCGGCTGCAAACTCACTGATGCGCCTGCAACCTCTCGGAGTTCCTGCTGCTCTAAACATTAAAATAATTATTTCATTTTCTGTTCCTCACTTCTGATTACCTTCAATGGTGTCTGTTTGTTGCAACCACCAGGTACAAAAACTAACTTGTTTTTATTTGACTATTTTTCTGTCCTGTCTCTGTTTATTATCTTCCTGCATCTCCTCTCAATCCTAAAGAGAAACTGCTACCTGGGTTCATATATATTCACCTGCAGTTCTAAAAGATCCACCGACCGCAAAAACAGCGGAGTGCGAGCTGAGAGCGAACAGATGATGCGCCCCGCTCCACAGCAGCGGGGTGCATCAGGCAAAAATAAAAGACAGAAAGCATAAAAGGAAATGAGCCAACATGAACGATCGCATTACATTTGTTTTTGAGGGTGACACCTGATTTGATAATGTTACTGTGGCCATGCTCAGGACGCAGATGTCTGGAGCGTGTCAACGATCAGAGCTTTGCATGCGCAAGCTGGTTAAGATTAGGATGGGGTGAGGGGAAGGTTAAATTGCAAGAGGGAAAAGGTCACAATTTGGTTAAATGTCCGTTTTATGGCGGGTGTCAGTACAGACGCTCTGGCACAGCGCGTTGCCTCCGCCTCGATCCAGACGCGCAGGGGCTCATCACTTGCTGTCTTTTCCGAGGACTGCATCTTGTCATTATCATGTGACAGCGACTAGTCAATGACAGGCATAAAGAGTCACTACAGAGCAGTGAAGTCAACTAGTTCATACAATCCCTATTAAGCAGTACAGCAGGCTTAAACTTAATGAGCCCTTGAGTGAATCTGCTTATTGAAGCTGTAGACATTTTTCACACTCAGTTTATTTCAGTGTAAATGTGTGAAACACCCACTTATTGGTGCTATCTGAATATAGAAAGTTGCAGTCATTTCCTTGAGTCTGCACCTTTCATGACACAAGTGTGATGCACTCTTTTATTTTTAGCTTCTGTGTTCCAAACGTTAAGTCACATGAACTTATCAGGCCCAATGTTCCTATCTATGTAGCGGCAACTTGCCGTGTCTCCTTTAACACTGTGCACCACCACCTCCTTTGTTTCCCTCAAATCTCATTGAGATGGGCATCACGACTCCTGCAGCCTAACTCTCTCTGCTTGCATGAACATGAAGGTGCAGAGGGAAAGCAGAGCATCTGTATAAGTTCTGTCTAATGCTGATCTCCCTCCACTTTTAACCCCTGTGCTGCTGAAATGCATTAAAGCAGGAGGCAGTGGAGCCTCATCTATAAGCTGAGCAGGAAAATTCTCAGAGGAATTGGCCAGGAGATGTAAAATGACAGCAGCTTCTGTGTGGACATGCATACTTATACCAGTGCAGTGAGTGTAAACAGATTTTACTACAGGAACGCTGACAATTTAACTGATGGATGCAGAGCAGACAGTGTGCATGTGCAGCATTGTAAATGTTTGTGCAATGATTAGAGTGACGTAAGTGAGTGAGACAAACAAAACGAGGGCATTCAGTCACTTTGAACCCAATGAACCATTTTATTCTAAAATCTTTAATCTTCTGGATCCAAAATCATTAGATTTTACCAGTCAACCTGGCTAAAGGCTGCAATGAAAATGTAAAAACAAAGAAAAAGCTAAGTCGACACACTTAAGTGGTCACCATAAGGTCCAAAAGAGGAAGGTAGAGTAGAATAGAATAGACTTTACTGATCCCACAGTGGGGAAATTCGCTTGTTACAGTACCACCAACACTTAAGAGAATAATTTGAAGAAAAAACAAAAATAATAACAAAGGTACATGTATGCACACATAGGCAGTAGTCTAGAACATTTGACCACTAAAAACCACAAACAAAAAAAGGAAAAAACTTGGGTTCCAACACTCTGCAGCATAATGTAAGAGACAAGGACTTGCTATGTAAATCTGGTACTGAATGAGTACTGAACACATACTGAGTATTGCTTTAGTGTTATTGTGTAACAGTGTGATGTCATTAGAAAATAGTCAAATTGAAATGCAGAACCACAGTTGTGAATGTGTTCTCATGATTCCACCTTCAGCTTTTTAACTAGCCTTTCAGTTTTTCACACAGGAGAAGCATATTGTGATTCATAGCTGAGCAGACAATAGGCGCTGTCACAAATATGTCTAACAGCTGCTTAGAGTATTATCAGCTTGTTAAATAGCTGTCACCGAGCGTTCTCAGACAGAATAATGCAACTGCAACCTCTCGAAGACCAGTGTATTAAGCCTACGTCTGATTATCCATAAGTAACCTGGATTGGATCTGAAGAGTGGGAATAATAAAAGAGATAAACAAAATGTGATTAAAAATTATAGCAGAGAATGAATGTGGTCTGGGAACTGTGGGTGATGGAATAGTGGTAGTTTAGATGGTCTTCCCCGTCTGTGTAGGAAGCAGAGAGATGCATTATTTACAGCCAATTTTTAATGAAATGAAGGATAAAAAGTCCAAAAACCAACAATGCTTACGCTCACTCCTTACTCCCTTTATGTAGGGTTAATAACAAGTGATATGATAAATGACACGCACTTGTATAGCACCTTTCAGTCAGAGGACACCAAAGCGCTTTACACTACAGGGTATCATTTATCCATTCACACACACGGTGATGAGCTACGAAGTAGCCAAAGCTGCCCTGGGGCCCACTGACAGAGACGAGGTTGCTGAGCACAGGTGTCACTGGTCCCTCCGACCACCACCAGCAAGCAAGGTGGGTTAAGTGTCTTCCCCAAGAACACAACAGCAGAATTCACTGTCCGGAGCCAGGATCGAACCTGCAACCTTCTGATTACTGGACAACCCACTTAACCACTTGTGCTACTGCTGCCCTAAGTCTGGCTAAAAAGCTCAATCAGAAAGGATAATACAGAAAAATGGGGGGTGGGGATCCATTTTTGAGACCGACTGAATATTATTACCAGAAACATGGATAATTGAAGTCTGGCTGTAACACCATCTGTATTAAAGCTGCAATGGCAAATTCACATAGAGGGCTTGTGTAATGAACAGAAACAGGAAATGTGATTTTCTTTTAACGTCTTCTTTATGTCGTCTGTGCCTTACTAACATTATTTTTTATTTAAAAATTGTCTTCAATGATTAAAATATGATTAATCAAGACTAATTTACTACAAATTACATAATTTTTTTCATTGAGTCCCACCCCTAATAAAAATACAACAGTTATAAATAAAATTGCCCGTTACCAACTGCAGACCTTCCACTAGATATGTATAGGATTGGATATGGTCATTTTTAGATGAAGGTACTAATCCTAATCCTTCCAGACCAGAAGTTATTTTATATAATTATTATATAGAACTTCCTCTACTTGCAGGATAGTGGTCCAAGGAGACTGGATTTGGTGACTGCTAATGAATATAATGGTACCTTCTGAAGCTTGTTCCTGTGGGGACAACACTGACTTATTACAGCAACACATTGGTACAGATTAAACAGTCATGCTGAACCAACATTATAATTCATCTGCATTGATTTTTTTCTGCCTCCCTGATTGTGAATCCAATACTGACACTCTCCTGTATCTCTTCTGTTTTGCCTTT